CCCGAGTTAGGATTAGAGCTCTAGGCTTTCGGTCATTGTTTATCATATAATACGCTTCCAATTTATATCAGGGTTTATTCTGTGTGTGGATCTTTTTTTTCTGTCACCAGTTGATGCCATTGTATATGATTAGGAAAGGCACCCTTTATAAAGTTATTTTATGGTCTTTTGAGACCCAAATGTATCAACTTTGCGTGAGCGCCCAGTATGTTAAACTTGTAGTTTGAGAAACGGTATTACTAACCTAAACAACAGAGTTCCAATTAATCAGAAGAAACCTTCCATTAAGTACGTTAATAATTCCGTTTAGTATTATAACTATGACAAAAGTAATAATCCAGCTGTGGATTCAGTTATAATATGACAGAACATATGACAGCGATCCTGCCCTGGAGATACTCAACTCACTCACAGGTTTCCAATTTAGAAGTGCTGCAGGGACTGCACAAAGTGAGTGAAAAATCTATGAGCTCTCATTTCAATCTATCAATTCAGTTTGATGTTAGTTGAACTGTACGGTGGAGCAATTCATATCCAGTTAGTTGGGAGGGAGAGGGAGGGAGAATAAGAAAACAAATGCTCTAAAGGTCAGTCCACATTTCAATGCACAAACATTTTATATCAGCATTGAAAAGTTCAGTTCCCTCCACCCCCTGAAAAAAAAGTGTGGATGAACCATGATATTTTTCTGTGAATCAGGAAACATCCCATGTCTATTCAACTGTAGAAGTATCAAAGGTCAGGTATGATTTAACCTTTTGAAATGTAGTTACTGACATAAGGCATCAGGTTTCATGCCAATTATCCAGTACCTTTTGAACCAAAATTAAAACACATTTTTGGTTTCATCTCACACAAGCACAAAAACACTGATACCTCCAAGATCATAGCAACTATGAGAGTGAGAAAAAACTGCTAAATAAGCTCCAACAGTTGTTGTATTATGTGCGAACCTGGGGATATCCCGCAGTGTAGTTGTTAGCGGGCTCGTCTCGCAAGTAAGGGGACCTGGGTTCGATTCCTGGGCTGGGAGAAACTTTAGGAAAGTTTCCTTACTCCACATGCCTCTGTTTACCTAGCAGTGAGTAGGAGTCCAGTTTTTAATGAGTGGATCGCTTTCCATGAGTAATAATCCGAGATGGATAGATATTTTTAGGTCAGGTTATTAAGGGATACGGGGCAAGGGCAGTTGCATAATAAGATACAGAACAGCCATAATCTTATAGAATAGTGGAACAGGTTCAAGGGGCTAAATGTCCTACTCTCCTGTTTCAATACTTCTATCCCTCCAAAAAAAAAGAAAAATTGGTCATTCAAAATGGTCACTCAATCCACAACTGTTTGTGGGACACTGCTGTGTGCAATTGGCACGTTCATATACGCTTTCTATTACACACATTTAACTGCAGTATTTGTGTTCTAAAATCTGGATAAATAGCTGACTATTTTTAATTTCTTCAGTTTTTCCACTTCTATAAATGATCGTGTATAGAGGCTGATGGTTTCATGACCTTGGCCTTCAATTCTGGAGAACTCATGTTGCAATTAACGTGACTATCAGCACAGTATAAAAGGTTAAAATGGTCTGAAATGTATTAAAACTTTTAGCATTGCCTATCACACAAGAGTCAAATGGGTCCAGAGGTACTGATCCAGAAGCATCTATTAAAAGATTTCAAAAGCTATCTCAACATCAATGAATAGGAATACTGCACACATTGATTGATCATTTTCTGCCTACTGCAAACAAATTTGCAGAGCTATGGAGGAAACACTATATAATACTCCCTTACATTGAGCCGATTAAGGCATCTAGCTGCATTTCTGAGGTTTTCATAAGAATCAAGGTGACTACATTGTATACCAACCCAACTCTAAAAGAACCGAAATAAATAGAGAACTTACAGAGACAAATATTTGTTATATACGAATATACATGACTAAAAAAGGACCATTGCAGTTCAACTGGGGAGCTACAAAGTACAAAGAAAAACCTGATAAATAATCCCATCTTTTATCTGAATTATTTGCCCAATGGCTATCTAAATTCCTCTTGAGTTTTCCAACATAATCTGCCTCTACAGCTTTGCTGGGTAGTTTACATATTCATTGCTCTATGGAAAATATTAAATATTTAATCAGATTGCAGCTCTCTAACCACTGTGTTCACATGACAAATATCTATATTATTTTGTGCAACATTCTCAAAATAATTGTCTAGAAATAAATATTCTGAAGACCATTTCTGTAAATGTGAAACACCACAGAGCAGTTCCTTGTTTGTGACGCTTTGCTATAAAAAGCAGCCAAAAGGCATTTCTACTGTTCTACTTTTGTTTTTAAACCACAGACATGTGACTGGAGCCTGCCGGCGCTTCTGGGTCAGGCTCAGATATGAAGGACTGACTCCATCCTCAAAATGATTCACATCTTGAGGAGCCCGGGAGAAAATAAGAAAACAGATGCAGTGAAGAGAGTTAATTTTGCTCAGGAATGTGAGGGGTATTAGGGCTATTGTGGAGTCCCGTAGTGGTTAACACACTCACCTCGCAAGCGAGAGGACCTGGGTTTGATTCCCAGGCAGGTCAAAACCTGCCTGGGAATCCACACTCCACACACCTCTGTTTATCTAGCAGTAAGTAGGAACCCGGTTGTTAGTCGATTGGTGGATCACTTTCCAGCAGTAATAAACCATATAAAAAAAATTGGGCCACTCAATCCACAACGGCTTGTGGAAAACTGCTGTGCACAATTGGCTGCTGCATTTTGCCCACAAATTACAGTCAATCCACTTTACAATATATCCTACAAAGCGCTTCGAGATGTCTCAATGACATGATGCAAGGATTATTATTATTAGAACTACAAATTCACAGTCACTGTACTTTACAGAAATTACCTGATAAGCAAGTTCAATTTTTTTAATGTTTTAGGCATGACATTAAATTCAAGGATGAATTTTAATTGGGGAACATGTTTTCTCCACTTTTTTGCATTCAACACCAGGATCACGACACAAAGTTAGGTAGGGTGGTAAACAGTGAGAAGGATAGGAGCCAACTGCAGGAAGACATAGACAGAATGGTAAAATGGGCAAACATATGGCAGATGAATTTCAATGTAGAGAAATGCGAGGTAATGCATTTTGGTAGAAAGAATGAGGGGAGGCAATACAGGCTGGTAATACAATCTTAAGGGGGGTGAAAGAACACAGAGGCCTGGGGGTGCAGGTAAATGAATCCTTGAAGGTGTCAGGACAGATAGATAAGACTGTAAAAAGGGCAAATGGGATTCTAGGCTTTATAAATAGGAGCATAGAGTACAAGAGTCAGGAGGTTATGATTAACCTATGTAAAACACTGGTTAGGCCTCAGTTAGAATACTGCGCCCAGTTCTGGGCACCACACTATAGGAAGGATGTTAAGGCATCGGAAAGGGTGCAGAGCAGATTTACGAGGATGGTACCAGGAATGAGGGACCTTGATTATGAGGAAAGGCTAGAGAGGCTGGGATTATTCTCATTGGAGCAGAGAAGGTTACGAGGAGACCTAATAGAGGTCTTCAAAATCATGAGGGGATCTGATAAGTTGGAAAGGGAAAAACTGTTTCCACTGGTGGGTGTGTCGGTGACTCGAGGTCACAGATTCAAAATAGTATCTAAAAGAAGCAGAGGGGAGGTGAGAAGAAATGTTTTCATGCAGCGAGTTGTTCGAATCTGGAACGCATTGCCTGAAAGGGTGGTCGAGGCCGATTCGATAACTACTTTTAAAAACGTGATGAATGGGTATTTGAGGAGGACGGGTTTGCAGGGTTATGGGGAAATGGCTGGGAAGTGGGATTGACATTAAATTGTTCTATTCAAAGAGCCGGTACAAACTCGATGGACCGAATGGCCTCTTTTTGTGCTGTACAATTCTATGATTCTATGATCATGCATTCCTGATGAGTTACTGCACCAATCGGGTCACAGAGTCACAAGAGAGGATCAGATGAGGAAGGCCCTTTAGGCCATTTGATCTCATAATTTCAGAATACTAAACCTCTCTCCTCCCATTACAGCATCAAGATATTTCTTAAATAAATTCAGTGTCTGTACCTCAACCAGCCCGCACTGTGATCTGTTCCAGTAATTCATCACCCACCTTGTCCCAAACTAGTGACCAGACCTGTAGTGCCAGTGAATAGTGAGTTATCAGCACTCTCTGTTGATCACCTTCAAGAAGTTGGATTGAGGCTGCTCCTAACCTTTTCCCCATGACAGAGAAGAATTTGACGTTCTATCAGTCAAAGCTGCGTTCAAATCAGGCCCTCGAGGTAAAAGGACACTGCACTCACACACTGAGCCAGCTACACCCCTAAGTTAATTATACAGCCATTTTCTCTTTTTGTGATGAGCAAGGTTTTAATGGTTTGGGCGAATGAGGTTTCAATGGTTTCATTAAAAAAGTCACTGTATCTATCAAGCTGGTCAGCAGCCTGTCACTGCCCAGCTCCCATTATTTCAGTGCCAGTTTGGGGAATATCTTCAAATATACCACAGCCAATTATAAATAAATCCCCTACTGCTATCCTGGCTGAGATCAGCTAAATCAGTATCACTCACAATCGAACCTGGGACATTCCATCTAAATTGTTTCTTGGTCAATAGTCCTCCACCCCCCAAAAAAATTAATTACTCACTCCACAATTGTAGGAAGTTGCTGTGCACAAATTGGCTACCGTGTTTATAGGAACATAGGAACATGAATAGGCCATTCAACCCTGCAAGCCAGTTCCAGCATTCTATTATATCATGGTGTTTGGTTACAGTCACTACACTTTACAGTAAAATCCTGTGAAGCGCTTTGAGACATTGCAACAATGTGATAAGGCGTTATATCAAGTGCAAGGATTATATTATTACTGGATACTAATTCATCAACTGAACCCATAATCTAGCAGTTTATCTAACCCATCATTTTCAGATAGATGTATTCGCAACAACTTAAATAGAAACTTACAGAGCGTTTCATCGTTGGCCAACCGGTGGAAGCGGTGAGAGACCTGGGAGAGCTGACAGAGATCACGATGTGATAGCAGAGTCAAAACACTAATCCAGAGCTCATCAGGCAAGTAAAGCCACAGGGAGCGGTCATCACCTCCTCCAGGATTCTGGGTTAAGACAAAAAAACATACACATAAGATCAGGATTCACTGGATATCCCTATGATCATCAGTGAAAATGCATAAAGCCAGGAGCAGCCCTGATCCTGTAGAGCAGGGATGGCCAACATGTAGCAAGGCCCGCATGACATTTTACACATGCGTAATGTGACCTGCATGTGGGTCCAAGTTGGCCATCCCTGGTGTAGATAATACACTGCCGTTTACTAGCCCAATTCTTGCTGTGCTGAGTTCACCTGTTTGGGCTGCATAAGGAGGCTAAAATGGTCTTGACCTTCCCAAAGTTAGCAAGAGGAAAAACAGCCAGGGTTCCTGCTTCTGCTCCCTATAAAGCATCTTTCACTTGTTTTGTGTGTGTGTGGGGAGGGGGGGGAGCTCTCTACGTTCTATTGCCTGCCGACACTCACTGACAAGACTCATGAACAGTAGACAGTTGGGGGGCTACTGAGGGGAACGGATACCAGCAACAGGAGGACGGGGACCAGGAGCAGAGAAGCATAAACCAACAAGGATAAAAATAGTAGAATAATTGGACAGTGATTTTTGAAATATAAAAACACGTAGAGCCATCTAGTGGGCAAACTAGTCCAGTTTGTACTATTTTTTGATCAAAATGGGGACTGACCCAGTTTTCGAGCACAACAATCAGTTAACGTCAGGTCACATTTCAAGCAACTTGTGTGATCTACACACATCTCATGTGATGTTAACACAACAAGGCCTCTTTTTTTGAGGACTTAAAATAAAAAATATTTTAAAAGACAATCGTCCCCATTATGTTGAGTATAGTTTTTGTGGCACACAACATCCCACAGAAATGCTAACTTGCTTTAAGTTTCAACTATCGAACCATTTAGAAAAGGAAAGCCTTGACTTGGGCTCCTTTACAGTGGGGGGAGGGGGGTATTGAGGGTTTTTAGGGGCATCAGGAGAGGGGAGTAACAACAACAAGTTGCTCTTACATAGTACCCTCCACGCAGGTTAGCATCTCAGAGATAGGGCGGTACCAGGGAGTGAAGGGGTTTGAACTGGAGAGTGGGGATCTTGAAGTCGATCCGTGCGGTGATGGGGAGCCAGTGAAGCCTGACCAGAAATAGTGAGATCTGGGCACTGAGTTTGGTCTGGGTAAGTATGCGGGAGGCAGAGATCGAATGAGCTGAGTCCTTTGAATGGTGGAGCTGGGGAGATCGGCAAGGAGTGTGTTTGAGTAATCCAGTTGGGCGGTGACAAACACACGCACGAGGGTTTCGGCTGGGTTTGGGGTAAGGTATGGTTGTAGGCGGGCAATGTGGCAAAGGTGGAGGAAGGTGGTCCTGGTCAGGGACCGGATGTGGGGAAGGCAGGACAGCTGGGGGTCAAACCGGACACCTAGATTGCGCACTGGTTTGGTGAGTCTGAGGGAGAGCCTGAGCATAGTCGGGATAACAATTTATCTTTAAATTATTTTCTCCCTATTCCCCCTCATCAGCTCTCTCCATCCCACAGACATGCGGACAAGTGGAAAATGCGCTCCCAGTCTAAAGGAACATAAACAGGAGCAGATCTTTGAGCACATCAAAACGTTTTAAATTTAGGAATGAAAACAATCTCTGGGGGCTAACACTTGTGAATGCCCACTGACATGATCCTTTTATCCCAACCGTCTGTCCCCTACCTCCCAACTCAGGTGGTGGACAGAGAAGGATTGACAGATGGGATGAACAACATGTTGATTTTCAGAAGGCATCGGATTAGGTTCTGCCTCAAGTCAGATTCCGAATGATTATTATACTCATAGGAACATAGGAACAGGAGTAGGCCATCCAGCCCTTTGAGCCTGTTCCGCCATTTAATTAGATCATGGCTGATCTGTACCTCAACTAATCCTTTCAATTCCAATTTCCTGCTTTCTCCCCATATCTCTTAATACCCTGACCTACAAAAAAATCTATCAACCCCACTTTTGAAGGTGTGGATGGATCCAGCATCCACTGCCTTTTGGGGGAGAGAATTCCAAATTTCTACCACCCTTTGAGTGAAAAAATGCTTCCTGATTTCACTCTTAAATGGCCTGGTTCTAATTTTAAGACTATTTCCCCTGGTTTTGGATTCCCCCACCAGAGGAAATAGCTTCTCTGTATCTACCCTAGCAAATCATTTTATCATCTTAAATACCTCAATCACCCCTCAAACTTCTAAACTCAAGGGAATACAATCCAAGTTTACACAGCCTTTCCTCGCAACTAAATCCTTTTAGGCCTGGTAACATTCTAGTGAACCTACACTGCACCCCCTCCAGGGTCAATATATCTTTGCTGAGGTGTGGTGCCCAAAACTGAAAGCAGTACTCCAGATTGGGTCTGAATAACATCTCTATGCAAAATAATAGTCATCATTCCTATGATACTCCCTTACCAGATTTCTAACTATTTGAGATCATTGCTTGCAACAAAATCACATATGGCCTGCATCTTTGTTAGCATAAGCACTTTGATACGCCGTCCGGTGTGAAGGGCGCTACATAAATGCAAGTTGTTGTTGTCATTGTTGGATTAAGACTTGTTGTTTTGGTAAACTGCACTGAATAGATTCCATAAATCCATTTCTTTTCTATTCATGTTGTTTTCCAATCCTAATCTGTATGTCATTCTTAAATCGTCCATTTATTACCACATTTTTCTTTTTAGAGGGTTCCCTGAACTGCAGGTACATTTTTTTTCAGTTAAGCCATAGGCTTAAGTCAAGTATTTATAAAATACACTTGTTTTACATTTTTCCCCATTTCTTAGTTCTACAACAGTGATTCTATTTGCTCATTATACATTACAAATTGATACCTTTACACTTTTATGGCACTTTTCACTTCAGGAAGATGTCCTAAGATCTTATCCTCACTTAGATCATTCTTTCCACTGTCATATTGGTGTCTTTTAACAATAACAAAAACAAGATTACATTTGTATATCGCCTTTCACGTTGGGAGGACGTCCCAAAACGCTGGACAGTGTACAACATTTCAGACCCGAGCTGGGGTCAGGGGGGGAGAAGGGGGGTGGCCGACAGCATGGTAGAAGAGGAGGGTCTTGAGGCAGGACTTGAAGGAGGCTAAGGAGGGGGCGAGGCGGAGTGATTGGGGGATGGAATTCCAGAGGTTTGGGGCAGAGTGGCTGAAGGCTCTCCCGCCAATGGTGGAGTGGGTGAGTCGGGAGACATGGAGCAGGCCACAGCCGGCTGAGCGGAGGGAGCTGGCAGGAAATCACAGAGGTAGGTTGGGGCGAGGCCATGGAGGGCTTTGTAGGTGAGGACCAGGATCTTAAACTGGATCCTCTGAAGGATAGGGAGCCAATGGAGTTGGGCGAGAATGGGGGAGATGGGATCATGGAGTTTGGTGCGGGAGAGGACACGGGCTGAAGAGTTCTGGATTATCTACAGCCCTGTGGAGGGAGGAGTTGGGAAGGCTGACAAGCAGGACGTTTGCATAGTTGAGCCTGGAGGTGATGAAGGCATGAAAAAGAGTTTCAGCACCCTGAGGGGTGAGGTAGTGGCGGAGTCGGCGATGTTACGAAGGTGAGGGAAGGCAGAGCGGGTCATGGCTTGGTTGTGGGGAAGAAAAGACAGTTGAGGGTCGAGCAAGACAACTGGGTTCCTGACTGGCTGGTGAGTTGAAGTGTGCAACCATGGAGGTTGATGCTGCCAGAGCCTGAGGTGCAGAGGCACTGGCACGAGCCAATCAGGAGGGCCTCAGTCTTGTTCACATTCAATTACTCCTAACCACCCCACTTCTCCTATTTTCCCACCTTTGTATCCCGAGCTACTAATCACATCCAGACTGTGGCCATTCCCTGCAACAGCTACTAAATCGTACCCCTGTAAACTGGGTAGCTGCACAGGGGGAAGACTTCAGGGGTCTTCCCGTGTCTCTGGCAAACAAGGACAACAATCACTACCTGTAATTTTCCCAATGACGTGCAGGAATACCCGTATTCTTATACCCTTCTCTCTCACACCTCACAGATATTTGCATACTGTGGAGGGAGAAGGAATTGACATAATTAGACTTTCGAGAACTTTTCAACAGCAGTTTCACAAACACTGAACTCTTTCATGTTGTCCTAGTTTTGATGAGCATTGATGAGACGCTGTTTGTTACAATCATGTCATTTCATCAACAAGCAAAAGACTGCACCAATTTAATATACTGCTGAAATTAAACCTCATCTTAAAAAACACTCTCCCCAAGTGAAACCACGGTCTTGTGTTTTAGCTTTTATTGAATGCTCCATCTGAAAGCTACAAACAAACAGCCAGGGGGAGGGAAGGGGAGAAGAGAGGAGAAACTAACATTCAGCTCATTGATTCCTCATTATTATTTAGAGATTTCACAAAATGACAATATGGGAATCATACTCTCAACATAGTCAACATTAAAGAAAACAGGTTTACAAAAATGACAGTAATTTTGTTTCAGAAATGCATTGTCAATCCACAAGTAACTCCATCAGCCATGTATTTAATCAGTTCTCTAATTCTCTATTGCACTGTGGGTGCGGGCGAGAAGGAATTGAAGTCACTCACTGCAACCTTACTGGCACTAGCTTTCCAAAAATAAAAAAATCATAACAAAATACTTGCCATGTCAGTCAATTTATCACAGGGCTGGAAAACATCACTGCACAAATGATCAGAAGTTGTCCCTAAGAACAAAACAGTGCATTTTATTACAGTCATGGTGCAGAGCAACAACAATAATAAAATTACATTTGTATAGTGCCTTTCGCCTCGGAAGGATTTCCAAGGCTATGAACAGACAAAGTTTCGGATCTGAACTGGGGGTCGGGGTCATAGAGAGTGGAAGGCGGGGGGGGGGGGGGGGGCTGTGGGATGGAATTCCAGAGGGTTGCAGAAAGCCCGCCCGCCAATAGAGGGCGAGCAAGGTGGGGGACATGAAGCAGGCCAGAGCCCACGGAGCAGAGGGAGCGAGCAGGATGGTAGGGGTTTAGGTGGTCACAGAGGTAGGGGGGAGCAAGACCATGGAGGACTTTGAAGGTGGGGACCAGGATTTTGAACTGTATCCTCTGTGTGATGGGAAGCCAGTGGAGTCGGGCGAGGATGGGAATGATTGGGTCACAGAGCTTGGTGCAGAAGAGGACACGGACTGCAGAGTTCTGGATGATCTGCAGCCTATGGAGGGAGGAGTTGGGGAGGCCGACAAGCAACGAGTTTGCATAATGAAGCCTCGATATAATGAAAGCATGTATGAGGGTTTCGGCGGCCTGCGGTGTGAGACAGTGCAGAGCCGAGTGATGTTGCGGAGGTGGGGAAGGCAGAGCGGGTCATAACGCAGATGTGGGGTAGAAAGGATAGTTGAGGGTCAAAAAAGACGCCAAGGTTCTGGTCTGGCTTAGGAAGGTGGAGTGTGCAACCGTGGATGGTGGTGCTGTCAGCCTGAGGTGAGGAGGCGCTGACGGGAACCAATCAGGAGAGCCTCGGTCTTGTTGACGTTCAACTGGAGAAAATTAGCTCTCATCCAGGACTTGATGTCATAGATTCATAGATAGAATATGCACAGACCCAGATACAGTCTGATAATCATACCTAGGGTTTTGTATATTAGACACGTAAACTGCTCTTAATATTAAAGCATAGAATGGAAAATGTCTCGCTTTTTGCCCTTCTATCCAATAATGAAGGCATTGACTCAATATTTCTTCTACTCAGGCTCAGGTGGATATTAATAACATGTAAGTCTTGCTATTCTTGCTTTGCTCACACCCCACTCCACTACCCTCTGCCCTCACTCAGCTGGTTCAAGTCTTCTGCACGTTCCTCATCCCCTCCGCTCCACCGTTGGCTGCTGTGCTTTCAACCACTATACCCCGAATTTCTGAAACTCTCTGCCTCAATCCGTGTTCGCTGTCTTCAAGTCACAGCTGAAGACTTTCCTCTTTGATCACATGGCTTTGGTTACCTCTCTTCTCTTTCCAGTTCAGCATTAAACCACACCAATGTTAAATACTCCAAGACACTCCCCGAATGAAGAGTGCAATATAAATGCAAGTTGTTGCTGTTGTATTCAACTCAGGAGATAGTGTAACTGATCCCGATCCTGTCCTCCCTGAATTTTCACACACTCACCTTCCAACTGGGGAACCTGGATGATTTCCTTCTACCTAACCCAAGACAATGGGCCAATTGCTGTGCCTCAGTTCACTCAATGCAGATTAGGAACCAAATCCAGAACTTTCCCCAATCTTTTGGGCCCAATTATTCACTGGATAAATGTGCTTCTCCATTAGCTTTAAGAGGGTAACTAGATAAACCTTTGAAAGAGTCAGCTACAGGGGTATGGGGACAGTCAGGTAAATAGGATTGAAAGAATTGCTCGAGGGAACCAGCAGACACGTTGCGATATGGCCTTCTTGTATATCGTAAAGTTCTATGGTTCTATCGAGAGAACCTGTAATACCTTTGAAAAAGGGTGGTGAGGTCTTGAGGACTGAAAATAACCCAGAGTAATATGACTGCAATAATTTTTGTTTTACAAACCTAAGTAAAAGTAAGTACTCCGCTGATTCTAATTTTTAGCACAAACATAAGGACAACTGCTGTGAGAGTGGCTTGGTGTCTTAACATAATGTACCACTTAGTGGCAGAATAGAGCACGTTCTTCATCTGGGCACTCCATAGTGCAAGAGAATAAGCAGCAGTCTCACCACTGCATGTAACTTCAGGGAGAGACAACCGAAGAGACAATGAGAGAAAAGTGTGTCAGAGGAAGCGAAGAATGCAAAGATGGAGCTAATAATAATAATATTAAAATAGGAATAAATGAACCAGTGTACTGAATGCACAAACCAAAAGTACAGTCAATGCAAACATGCTGTAAATGTGATCGTTCGCTCAGAAGATGGACCACTGAGACTGCATAGAGGATTGGGTCAACTCCAACATTCCAATGCTAAACGTGTCACCTAGGAGCCAGTTCAGCTCCTAGGAGACCCATATTACCTTCCCCTACCTCACGGAGGATATATGTGGAATTTAAGACAGGAATTAATGGGAGATACTTCCCAATTAACATAAACCAGTCCTAGATAATTATCTTCACAAATTTAGGTTGCTGTAAAAGTATGACAGGGCCTGCCGTTCTTGTCTGCTGTATTTATTTTGTTCAAATCAGCAGGAGTTTTGTCAGGAGGAAAGAGCAACGAATGCAAAAATTGGGCTGATTTGGTTTTCAATTATTCATTGCACACTGCCAGTGACAGACAAAAAAATGCTGTGATTTTCAAAGGAGCTGATACGATTTGAATACACAGCATTCTGGTTGTTTAACTCTTGACTCTGAAAATGAAATATTGAGCTCAAACTTACAAGCATTTACCCTTCTTAGGGAAGCATTTTGAAAATTAGGCAGTACTTTTGATATCAATGTCTCCTGTGCAACTCGTTCACTCTCAAGTGTACCAGCACTCAATGGTCTATTGGCCAGCTGTCCCTTTATCCGCCTGCTGTTTGGCACCGGTACTGGAGAAGGCAAAAGAGAGACGACATTTATAATAATAATAATCCTTGAATTTGTTATAGTCTCAAAGCGCTTCACAAAATACACTGTAAAGTGAATTGACTGCTTTTCTTGTGGGCAAAACGCGGCAGCCAATTGCGCACAGCAGTGTCCCACAAACAGTCGTGAATTGAAGTGATCAAATTATTATTGGTTTTTTNCTTGAGGGTTTATTATCAGGCGTGTGGAGTAAGGAAACTTGCCCAAGGTTTCGCTTTGCTGGGAATCGAACCCAGGTCTCTTGCTTGTGAGGCGAGTGCTTTAACCACTGAGCTACAGGACTCCACAACAGGTCAACATATTTAAACAAAGGTAACACATCAAAAAAGGTCCCCAGAAAAGGTAAAATACATTGATGTTAAAGTTAATAATTATTCTTAAATACTTTTCAAAATGGGTGCTTAAGATCTTCCAGTACAAAATTACTCAATTTCAACTACTGTGGAGATTGATATGTTGCTGTCTTAAATGAACTTAGTGAATTGATAAGAGAAAATATGCAATTATTCACAACAAACTAGCAGAGAGTAGCAAAAGGCGCTGCAATGTTGTGATGACAAATGCCTTTAACAGAAGTATGTTTTCGGATAGAAATAGACCAGTAACTAGTGCTAAGTCACATATCTCAGCTAGATTCACAGGACTTAATGAGTCTTGATCTCGTTCACAGCAGTTCGTGGGGTTGCTGCCAATTTGGATGCATGTTTCAAGGCATTTGGAACAAGCTTTGCTTTAATCACTAATTAAGTTGCTTAATGAGCTGTCAGAAGACACCTCTGCCCCAATTCTGTATTTCCCAAAGCTCATCTCATGAACTATGTGTTTGTTAACACGTTCGCTGTATCTCGTTATTAGACACACCGATTTAACCAAAAGAAGCTCTTTGGCCCTCACAACTCCCATTACTTGCCTTTCAAATTTGTGAACCAATCTTCTGTATCGCTTTGCTAAAATTGAAATAAAAAGATATCCCCTTGTCCACAAATTCCGTTCTTTCCTCAAAATCCATGATTTAAAGTCTAATCCAAAGGACAACACCTCCGACAATTCAATATCCCTCCAGCATTGCATTGGAGTGTCAGCCTAGACGATGTGATTCCAAAGCCTAACATGGGGCTGAACCCACAACCTCCTGACTCAGAGGCGAGAGTTCTAGCGAGCCAGTCTCATATATCCTATCTAGGAACAGGGTCTGTTATCTGTTACCATTACCATCTACCACATCTGAACAGAACCAACATGCATGGAGCATCAGAAAATAATTTATTAAGTATATTACAAATCGCTACTGCAGGTTTACAAATCACTAATATGAATGCTTTATGGAAGTGTTTAATATCACACCAACTACTATATTTTAACAGAATAATTTTACCCACAAATAAGATAATGGGACCTGATTAGTTTCAAGGCCCATTTAACTCTTCTTATTGATCACAAGTTATATTTGCAATAAGTGTTTATCTATCAGCGTGGTCCAACAGGTAGCCCACATCCAGCCCAGAGGATGATTTTATCCAGCCACAGACCATTTCCAACTTTGGGTCACCTGTTCCCTCCCTCCCCGCCTCCCCCCCATACTAAACGTCCTCTCATGGCAGTGGTAGGAGCCATCGATTAGGAAAACGCAATACAGGGAGTGGAAATAATGTCGGCCGCTACTGCAGTCTGTCAGGAAACCCCTCCTGAACTGAAGGAGGGGTTTCCTGACAGACAAGCCGCTCTCCTTATCCATTGCATCCTTAACAACCCCTGGTTCCTGTCGCTGCAGATAGTGAAATGCGCTGATTGAGAAAACAAGGAAGAGAGAGTGACTGAGAGAGGGGAGAGAGGGCGAGTTTTTAGGAGTGTAATCAGGAGGCATTTTTTCACACAAAAGGAGAGGGGGAGAGAGAAACAAAGAGAATGAGTGAGAGAGCAGAGAAAGGAAAAGTGAGGGCACCATTTCATAGTTCACTGTCAGGACAGACGATCAGAGCTTCCCTCGGCCGCTATGGTGGTGACTGAGGACAGACACCATGTGACGTGCCGTGCAGTTTTCTCACAGAAAGCTCCCTCTTTCCTCAGTGAACAAATTCTCTACATCCTTCATTCCACCCCACCCCTCACCCACTGCCCACTTTATCTATGCAACCTCCCAACTCAGCCATTCCCTTTGCCCAGCAAACACCAGTTTGCTTCATGTTCCCGTACTCTATCTGCCCCATCATCGCCATTTTGCTCCCACTCTCGGGAGCTCCAATCCTGGAGTCCCTTCGACTCTCTCCCTCGCCTTTCAAGGCACATCAAAACCTACCTCTTGGAGCGTGCTTTCAGTCATCTTTTTCCCTCCCTATCTCACTTCCCTCGGCTCCCACCCCCAGCTCGGGTGCCCAGCCGACAGTGTTGAGCACTTTGAGATGTCCTTCCAACATGAAAAAGGAGCTGTGTAAATGTTTCTGGAAGGGAAACTCAAAAATATTGCTTATGCAGCCCATGGACCTTTCTCAAGTAGGGAATCCGGCCCTCGGCAGCTTAAAGGTTGGACCACTCTGATCTAGATTATCTGCCAATTTCAATTATCCACCGGCAAAGTTCTCTTCATTGTGAGCAATAATTGAAACACTGATAAAAAAAACTTTATCACCAATACGCAGTGTTCTTGCTTGCTAATACTGTACGACAATCAATCAATTCATCTGCTAAAACTGATTTACATCCAACTCTTCCAGTAATGTGTAGGTGTTACTCACTGACCAACACAAACACCAGCTGGAGGATCTTCACACTGCAGTGATTTCTTAGAGGACATCCGACCGTTGCCAGTTGACTGTGTGCTATAGATATTTTTTGACCTAGTGGAGATAGAACAATATCATCAGTCACAACTCGTTGCCTTGCAAGGCTGAGGTTCCTAGTTAGGGTCTTCTGAAGCAATGCAAGCGAATGGCTGTTGGCTGCAGAATGAAATGGCGAGATGCCTAAAACCTTTGTATTTTAGGTTTAAGTCTTAATGATTACATTTGTGCAAAATTTTGCACAATTCTTAAAAATGCAATCTTAATTTAGAAGCCGGTTCTTAAAATAGGGGGAAAGTTACAGATTCCAAAATAAGATTTAATTTAAAAAATAATCAATTACTATATTACATTTTAAGAAAATGGAAATCTTTGTGCAATCAATTCTCCAGATAGAGCATTTGTTCTTTTCATGTCTGTTGGGAGAGCTTAATGCACCATTTGGGAGTATCGTTTTGCCACCAAATATACAGTCACTACATTTAACAACTTTTACCATTGAAATGCTTTGAGATGTTTTGACGTTATATGCACTATAATCAAAATCAAGGGTTATTATGAACAGGAGTAAGGTTAGAAATTGTCATGAGCTAGCAAGCTAAAGCACTTATTTTGTACCACCAACAAGCAGAGATTTTTAAATATATTTTGTGTAGTTTCGTAGTGTTGTGGTTAGCGCATGCTCCCAAATGAAAGGAGACAGATTCAATTCCCAACAGGGTAAAACCTTAGGCAAGTTTCCTTACTCCACATGTCTGTGTTTACCTAGCAGTAAGAGGAGCCTGGTTGTTATTCAGTTGGTGGATCCCTTTCCAGGTATAATAATCCCTCCAAAAATAATAATAATATGGTCACTCAATAAGGCACTATATCAAATGCAAGGATTATGATATATATACAGTACATAAGCTATTTGATACAATTAAAAAAACACCAATAAACAGACAGACAAAGGCACTGATGCAATGTGCCTTTCTCGGCCTCATTTAAAAACATAAAAAATAGAATGAAATAGGCTTTTGAACACTGCTTACAATTCTGACACATGGAGACGTTTCAGACATGTCTGACAGAATAAAGCAGATAGTGTTGAGTGGTATAAGCCGTAACATACTATTCCAAATCCATTTAAATTCTAGCTTTACTAGTTTAACCATTTGAAATTGGTCTTTTGTGCAGTTACTCATCTGAGTAGTTCAAATTGTATTTTATTTTCCATGTGTTAGTTTTCATTGATTTACCAGGAGTTTCTTATATTGTGATCCAGCAGATCTTTTCTCAACTCTTAAATTTTGCAGATATGTTTTGAAAATTTCCTTGTGTTCGCATCTTTTGATGTAAGTGGGCTTGTGACTGTACCTAGAATATTCTTCACCCAGACAGTAATTTAGTGACTGAAACAGGTTGAGGGAAGGGTGGTTGAGGCCAGAATATTCGACTTATTCAAAACACAGTTTGATGCTGTGTTTTGATGGTAGGTGAAATAGATGGTTGGTGAGCGTTCTGGAAAGATGAGATCAAATTAGCCGGATGGCACTTCTTAATCCAAACCAAACTTGCAAATATAAGAAAACAGAAGCGGCAGAAGGCCATTAAGCCCTTCTAGCCTGTTCCACTAGTTTATTAAATCTTGGCAGATCTTTCAATGCCGATGTCCTGCCCTTTCACCATATCCCTTAATACCTTCACTATTTTCATTTCCTGCATTTTTCATTTGCATTTTTTCTGACATTATCTGCAGTTCTGATTTGAACCGACTCACATATAATTAGTATTTGGTTTGCAAATGCCGATGCCCATTTTATTTTCCGAGGCACAAATAAGGGGAGAGTGGAATCTGCAATAAGATAGCATCCCAGGCACTGTCATTTTGTTTCTAATGTGACAAACCATTTGCTAAAATCAAAACCACGACTATTTTTGAGACACTGCTTTGTGCAATTGGCTGCTGCGTTTCGCCCACAAAATATACAATCAATTCACTTTATAGTTTGTTCTGTCAAGTGAATTGAGATTTCGACGATGTGATAAGGTGCTATATCAAATGCAAGGATCATTATAAAAGCAACTTTCACTTAGAATGATTGTCTCAAAGCACTACGTCATTATGATAAGGAGAAGGGAGTGTTAGAGATGTTGACCGAAAGCTTGGTCAAAAATATATGTTTCTAGGAGGAATTTGCCATGGCATGGAGAGGAGAAGCAAGGTAAACATATTTTGAGAGAGAGTTGCTCAAAAGCAAAGACAAAGTACCATATAAGTAAATATTTTAAGTGTCAAACTTGCGCAGTCCAATCCTTCATCTTTTCATGTGGGTAAATTTTCTCAGATGGTGAGAGCAAGTGAGAACAATTTAAATCATTCTTGCACACCTGGTGCATGCACACACACATATCACACCTCTTACTGCTTTCACAGGTAAGATTTTTATATAATAATAATACTTGCATCTGATAGAGTGTGTTATCACATTGAAAGGATGTCTCAAAGCGCTTCACAGGATTTACTGTGAAAGGAGTGACTGTATTTGAGGCAAACGCAGCAGGAAAATTGTGCACAGCAATGTCCCACAAACAGCCATGACATTAATCAACAAATCCCACAAATTAAATTGGTCACTCACTCTGTGAATGCTATTTTGTGGCTGTGTCAATCAAAACCATTTTACAGTATATCCTGTGAAGCACTTTGAGACACCTTGACGATGTGATAAGCACTGTATAAAATGCAAGTATTATTATCATTATTGTTACATTTCTTGCAGTGTAAACAGACTGTGCATCAGGTACTCCTGAAACCATCACTGCTTTTGGGTTAGGAAGGTGACTGATGGTCCAAATTGCTTATCTATGTTCCCTCTTATTACAGAAGCTTTATTGAAGATTTATAATGACTGAACACCCCTCTGCCCTCTCCAATTATAAAGTGACACAAGGCTTTATAATTGGATTTAGTTCCTTTGAAATGTATTCTGTGCATCAGAGATATTTTAAATTAAAATTCTGAAAGTTGACAAAAGTAATTTAGATTAGCATATGCCCCCCACATGCCTCCTCACTCACAAGTGGCCGCAAAGCAAATAGGTTTAGGACATAGCTGATTTTAATTCCATGTAGTCTTCTATTTAACACCCAGATGGGTACATCAGACTGCCCAGAGCATTCAAGGAAAAATGAAGGAGACTGTCTCTCACATTCACACAAAACAAATTATTTGGGACAAATTCCAACTGGGTCTAGATTTACTCTGTATAAATTGTTGAAATTTTGTTTGTAGTACGTAAAAGAACATGCTGAAAAATGGCTTCAAATTTAAAGCTGTATTTAAAAATCTGCGAAATTCTGCAAGCTCTGAAACACTAGATAAATAACTTCCTGGCTCAGTTGGTAGCACTCTCACCTCGGAGCCACAAGATTATGTGTCCAAGTTGCGCTTTGGTATTTTGAGCTCACAGTCTAGGCAGGCACTTGTGCAATGCTGAGGAAGCACTGTATTGTCAGAGATGCCACCCTCCAGATGAGACTTTAAAACAAGGTCCCTGTCTGTCTTTTAAGGTAAACATTAAAGATTCCATGGCATTATTCAAAAAGTGAAAGAAACTTCTCCTGGTGTCCTGGCCAACAATCTCCCAGATAAATAATTGTTTCACTTCACGCCTGGTTTGGGGATATTGCTATGCGCAAATTGGCTGCGACAGTCGTCTACAAATGGACAGTCACTACACTTTACAATAAATCCTGTGAAGTGATTTAAGATGTTTTGACAATGCCATAAAACTCTATAACAAATTCAATTATTATTATGATCATCATTAATATTATTAAATCTAGACCCAGTGAAATGTCTCCCAATAAAATCAGACTGTGCTGACTGGTACTGGATATCGTCCAGGAGGTGGCACTCATAACTGGCCTGATAGAAAAGAAAGCCTGTTGGGAGCTCATGTGAGATGTAAATTTCAGAGGAAACACACAAGATTTTCTTCCAGCAATACAAAATGTGATGAAGTGTCACACCTGTAACATTATTTAATTTTTTTTCTCTTTTCTGACAATGAGGATGAAAGTAAATACGTAATGGTGAAAGTCTGAAATACAACCAGATATGCTGGAAATCTGAACAAATCTTAAAAAAAGGCAAGGCTTTGTTTAGAATTTCACAGCAGAAATCCACATAATAATAATCTTATATTCTAAGATTTGCATTTGATATGGCGTCTTTCACGTCATCGAGACACCTCAAAGAACTCCACAGGATTTACTGGGCTTTGCTAGTCAGTGAAATACTGTCAGTCAGTCAGTCAGTTACTAGTCAGTAAAATACAGTGAAAGCAGGTTAAAGCAGACACATAAACCTCAGACACACCAAAGTCAACCCAAACACCATCATTTCTTCCCACCCAGCTGAGGAGCAGTGGCCGTTCCCATTGGACAGGAAGTGCACCAATTATCAGCGGCTCCAAGGTGATTGACAGCCTACAGCCACTTATGAATGAATGGGCACTCTACCCATTCCCAAGCGGCTTAGCTGTCAATCAATCACATTCTCGTCCCCCCCCTTCCTCCGCGCCCCCTCACTGATTGACAGCCCGACCTCAGCCGCTTGTGAATGAGTCCGCTGTCAATCAATCACAATTTAACTCCTCCTATCTCCATCATGGAGCTGCTTGTGGCTGAATGGAGCCGCTGGAGATTCAGCGATGACCAGCGTGGTATTTTGTTTGGATTAACTGCATTATTGCACAAATTAACCAGCATATCTAAAACGCATAAGAATACAATTAAATCAGAGCCGGGCGTTTTGTCCAATTTACCCAACGTCCAAGGTTAACCAGCGTCCGGTTAAAGAGACTTCAACAGTATTAGTAAACGAGCAAATGGGGAAGTTAGGAGAATTTTTTTCTTGCAGAGTAGTTAGGACAAGAATACCCTGCTGGGATCAGTGGTTGAGACAAATTGGCCTTCAAGAGGGAACTTGATAAAAGCTTAAAAAGAGTCAGCGTCATAAAAAAAGGGGTAAGGGCAGGTAAATGGAACTGAAAGGAATGCTGTTAAGGGAAACGAAAACAGAAGTCGCTGGAAACACTCAGCAGGTCCAGGTCCACGTTTCGGGTCCACGACCCTTCGTCAGAACTCAGTTGACTCACTTTCCTTTCTCCATAGATGCTGCCTGACCTGCTGAGTGTTCACAGCGACTTCTGTTTTTGTTTCAGATTTCCAGCATCTGGGTTTTGTTTTTATGCTCTTAAGGGAGCTGGCTCAGACACAATGAGCTGATAGGGCACCTTCAAAAATATACATTCTCTGTGCATTTGTCTACAAATAATAATAATCCTTCCTTGCATTTGATAGCGCTTTTCACATCTTCTAGTCGTCTCAAAGCGCTTCACAGAATATACTGTAAAGTGAATTGACTGTATATTTTGTACAAATAAACAGTCACTACACTTTGCAGTAAAACCTGTGATGCGCTTTGAGACATTCTGTTGTGAAACGTACATATTAAACGCAAGGATTATTATTTTATGATCATTATGTCAATAGATTCAATGTAATGCTGCTGCAGTGATGAGTGGGTCCAGCACTGCAGATCAGATAAGTCAACAGGATCCCTTACCGTGGTTTTACTTCTCCGTGTGTGTAGGATGACCATGCAATACTGGACTTCTCCCAGTATCTTTTGTGCCTTTTCAGGCTGGCTTGGATGCTTTTTCTCCTCACTGGCGTTACATCTGTATCTTGTAATACAAAAATCTAATTTGCTTTATGAGGACAAAAACAATTCTAGGTTCCTTCAAAAATATACAGCATTTTGTTTAAACACCCTAAATGAGCTATTTTCAGATCAAATCCCACTGTAATCTTCCATTACTTTGCTCCAACAAAGGACTTATCCCTAGCAAACTGCAACCACTTACATTTATATAAGGTCTTTCACATGAAAGAAACGTTTCAAAGCACTTTACAGAATGAGATTGATTAATTAGAAATTAATTGAGTGCTTTTTATGTAGACAAACACGGCAGCTAATTTATACAACCAATATCCTACAAACAACGCAATGAATTTTGGGAGTGCATTTGGAATCAGCACTCAAATATTTAACACTCATGCCTCCAGTGTATTTTTCTGCTTTGCACATCAATCATTTGGCCAAGCTTCCAAACTCTCCAGGTATTGCTCTATTAGTAAAATGGTCTGATACTCCAATAAAGTTTTTGGGGAGCACTACATCCTGAAGGTGTCTTTATTTGGATAAGATGATAAACCCATGTCCTATCTGGCTGTTCAGGTGGATGACAGATCCTGCTGCACTATTCGAAAAGAGATGCGAGTTTCTCCAGGGATGGTGACTTACAATACTCCAGATAAAATTGATTATTCACATTATAACTTTGTGTGGGGCATTGCTGTTTTTACATTAGCTGCCACATTTGCCGACAAATATATGAAAACTCTATGAACACTTGAGATGTTTCAATGTGACAGGTGCTATATAAAATAAAAGGATCATTTTATTATTACTCCAATTAATAGTATTCTGCCATGGTACCCATTTAATGAGAATTTGGGGGATAAATTTGGTTGTTCAGAGAATATAAAGCAAAAGAAAACATCTCTGAAATAACAACATAAAAGCCATTCAACCCAGCAAGCCCTTCTTTCTTCAGCTTTGTAGTCCACCCAAGTCATTCCACTAAAACGTCACAATGTTTATAAATAAAAATATAATATTTCTTGCATTTGACATACCTGCTCATTGTAATTTTGTGGGTGAACTTAATATCTGATGGGAGCACTTCAAAGCAAAGAAATATCATGAAGTAAAACATATGACGTTTCTGGGGAATAAGGGAAATAAAACACAGTGAACCTTGAATTATTAAATAACTACCTTTCAAATTTCCTTTTTTCTTCTCATGGCCTGTACAAGTCACAGTTTCATCCTTCAAAGTTCCAAAGGCTTGCTTCAAAAAAGCTTTGTGGGTTGGATCCTTTGATGTTTCTTTATAGATTGGTTTCTCAAAATAATCTTTTCCCTGTGGATGATTCTCTAGCACTGAAAAACTTTGTACAACACAGCATTCATCTGTATTCCCTGTCAAAGGTGCAGCTCCCCTGCCTAATTTGTCTTCAGATCGCAGGTCAATAAGGTCAGAGCTGAGAGTGGAGGTCTCAGACGATGAGGTGGCATAGTTCTCTTTGGCTTTGTGTCTCTTACTGTTTCCATTCAATGCATCTGTCCGACTCCCTTGTTCATTCACCAGATGCTGATCTATAGGTTGTTGTTCTTTTTGTGCCTGGTGTTGGTTTGAGAATTTCTTTAGAGGTTGACTGTAGAGAAGATAATTCTCATACACACGGAGCTCCCGTTCACCCGAGGAAGTGCAAGTGAAAGTCTTGGAACATTTCAAGTCGTAAATATTGTCCGGTCTCACAAATTCTGAACAGGGTCTTAGGCTGCCTTTTACTAGCACATCTAGTTTCTCTTTCTCGGGGCTCTGTCTCGTAATCAAGGATGATATTTCAGCAACATTGGTAGAAACGGGACATTGCCGAGTTAGTATCCCAATAAGAACACATCCGCACTCCATGCACCAGTTAATATTTGGGTCATTACCACTTAAGCACTCTGGGCAGAACTTAACCAGGTCACTTCCAACAAAGGAAGAGCAATCTGCATTGGGTTGTTCCTCTCTGTTAATAAACTTCTCTTTTTGGAAAGGTAGACTGGGATCTTTTGAATAGCTGGAATTAGAAGACGGTGACAAGCATGATGGAAAGGTTGAAGTCAGCACATTTAGTGGTCTATTATGTACCTTATGCTCAATTAGGCTTTGCTGAACTTCATTTTTGTCAATATTATGGTTTACTTCTTTTTGCAATGGATCATTTTCTGAAGACAATGTCTTCTCAGTGCCTTTGCTGTTTAACACTCGTGTTTCATCTGCATTTATAATACTCAAATTTTTCATTCTTTCAGAGTATTGTTTCATATCTACTTTTTCCCAATCTTCACAGCTTAACCTTCTTTCTTCACTCAGTGACCTGACTGTGAAAGTTCTCCACGTGTCCTTAGCAGTCACTGGCAATGTTTCATCGCAACTTAAGCTTGGGCCTCTGTAAAGGGTTGAAAGATCTAGTTTGGGAACAACAGACCAATCCTTCCGTGATTCAAAGTTAAATGCACAATAAGTATTGCTATGTGATGGATCCCAGTCAGTAGCATCTTGAAGATTTAGTGATAGATCAGGAGGATCAGCAGCTTTTGAATGTTCCGCCGAAGGCTTATTGTAATTACCTAGAAAGCAATCTCCCGCAGTGGCTTCCCATGCATAAAAAGGTAATTTATTATTACCAACAGCTGATGTGCTGTGTTGTGCAACATTATTTAGTTGAAGTGGGCTTGCTGATAGATCAGACGAAGTGTAACAATACTTGACGGAAGATTTTCTAGGTTTTGCTGGTCCTGTCGATAAGACAGACTCTTCATAATTCTCATTACACAACTGATTACTGTTCACAAAAGGCTGCACAATCATTTGCTTTCTTTCCATACCTCCTTTGGTGTCTTCTTCATCTGAATTATCTTCGAGTGGTACCCAAAAATATTCATTATTATTCTCTGTGCCTGCACCACCAGTGACAGAATGACAGTCGTCATCTGCTGGGTACTCGGACAGAGTTGCATGGACGTGAATCTCCGCTGTGCCTTCAGTTTTACAGTCCTTATTTGGAATACTACCTCCATATATATTATCTTGCTTAGGAATTGTTCTTTCCAACTTTTCAGTCTCACCTGCCCCAGAAAACCACTGGCGCCTATTTAAACCTCCACTATGTGTCAGTGCATGTTGTTCCACCTCGTCGATCGAACCTGCAGTTAAGCAGTCAGTTTGAAGAAATGTATGGCTTGATCTCGAAATCTCGGATGAACAGTAGTTATTAGACAAACTGGAAATATCAGCAGAATAATGAGAAGCATCCACTCGGCTGCTGAAAAGATCAGCGGTGGTCCTTCCATCAATATCCCAAGACCGATAAAGTGAAGCTCTTGATTGCTCTCCATCACAGCACTCACGTCTCAGTGCTGGCACTTCCTCATTAGACTGAGACCGACAAGCTCTTTGAGACATTTTGCTGCTCTTTGCTTCATCCCTACATTCATCGGACTTCCTAAGAATATTCTGAGCCCAGTTGAGAATGTGTGTAAGCTTTTGGTTCTCTGAAACCATGGGATCCTCAAGTAGGTTATAATCTGGCTCAGGAAAGCAAGCATTTCTAAGGTGACTCTTTGCCGTTGCTGATGATGGCTCTGAACTGGTAGAATGGGACTTCTCTGTATCACCAACTACAATTTGTTCAACTGATTCATTAGAATTAAGTATTTCCTGAACAGAGAGGCCTTCTTTCTCATATTTTGCCAATTTATCTTTTAGAGGATCTCCCACTCTATTATCGGGAATTCCTGGATTGCTACCGATCTGGAGCCTGGGAGGAAGGGATGCAGAGATACAGCTACGTTGGCAATGCTCTTTTTCAGGAACAAAGTAGGCCAACCGCTTTATTCGAAGAGTCTTCAGCTCACTAGTGCGTGGAGTGTCAGTTTCTAAAACGGTCTCAGCATTTATGCGCTTCAAGGTCCTTGCAGTTAAAGGCTCCACCTGAAAAATATCAGAGATGAACCTTAAATATGATACAGTGCCTTATCACATCTGATATTGATATATCTCCAAGTGCTTCACATGATTTATTGGTGACTATTTGTAACTGGATGTAGCAGCCAATTTGCAATCAGCAAGAATACACAAACAGCCATGTTTCTGATCACAAATTTCTGATCACAGAACCTGATCAATTTTATTTGGTGAATTGTTGGCCAGGACCTCTGTTGAATGTTTCACCTGAAGGAAAATGACCACAATGTAGTGCTGCCCCAGGCTCAGCCTAGACTGTGACTTCAAAGTCCTGATGTGGGACATAAAACCACAACCTCCTGACACAGAGACAAGAATGCTACCAACTGAGCCAGGCTTACATCTTTTATCCCAGTGCTAACAAATAGGGAAGGAAGCTGTTTCAATTTAAAGTACTTCTTTCAAGAAGGCCGTTAAAACCGTAAGTAAAACGTATCTCCTACCTGAGAGAAGATAGTTCGCTTGTCAAAAAGCAGCATTGGAAAGATCTAGCAGATCTATCCTGAGCTGTTCATTACTAGAATTGGCTTTATTCATAGACCAGAACAATGAACCCAGCCCACAAACACAAGCATATAATTTTCAGCAATTTCTCAACATGACAACCCTGCTTCTGAGAATCTACAGTAAACTAAGCATATGCCCACATCACCATTAGCATAAATTGAAGGAAAAGACATCTACATTTAATAAGTAGTAGATGGCTCTAATTAAACAAAAAAGAAATTAGTGTTGAAGAGATTAGTGTTGACATATTATTCATGTTGATGTGATATTTGTATCATATTGAAGCTCATGAGGGATGGAGAGATTTCATAGCACGAGGTTAGGAATAAATTCAATGGGCTATACCACTTCCTTCAGAATTAAATTAATATTAGATTATGCTCACTGTGACAATCAGAACGTAGAATCTCCTAATAAAAATGTTTAGGAACATTGGAATCTAAAGGTTGTCTACTTCATAGTCTACCTGTTCAATCCCAAAATTAAGTGTTGTTTCAAAGAGAACTGCAGTTGCTGTTTTCTTACCATTTCTCCACCCCCACCCCACCCCCGGAAAATTGTTTTTTTCTCAAACAAGGTTCTGATTTCTGATTACACCTCAAGTCGAAAAACACACCCGTTTGAAGATAGACTTGCAGGATAAACAGAACACTTATCTCGCACAGAATACTGATCCACATGAATTGTTAGATAAACACCATACTTAACATTTCAAACAATGGGAGTTGTACACAAAAAACAGCAACAGGGAAAGTAAGTCCTATTGTCTCTACCAAATGACCTTCTAGTAATTCAAACACAATTATTTGCAGTAATCATTTTTCGTTAGAGCAAAAAAATCGGGGGAGGTGGAAATACACAAACATATCTTACCACCTGTTTAGGATTTAACGGCATCTTGCACAACAGATTTTGCCCTCTTCCTTAGTTCGCAAATTCAGCAACTGAAACAAAGATCAACAGTTAATTGTAAAATATCTCCTCCCCCTCCCACACACAGAGATGAACACCAAAATGCAGTTTTTACCAACTGATTACACTAAATATAGTCGCGAAATACACACCTAATCATTTTAGGTTCTAAAAAAAACACAGGAATCCAAAAGGTTACAGGCAATATTACCACAGCAACGGTGGCAGTGTGAGAGGCGAGACCCATGAGCATCTGCCATCACTTCTTAAGGATCCTTCATAATTTCACGCTTTAAGATGTCCTGTTGTGAGGAGTGCTGTGAAGAGCTGCAGTTCTAACACTAATTACTGTACACGAGCAGCTCAAAACACCAAGACATTTTGATCTAAATGTATGCCACACTGGGCCTCAGGGTCCCATTGGTATAAAAGAGGCAACAGGAAGCTCCGCATGATACAGAATATTCTAAACAAGACATAACTACCGAGCAGGGCAGCTGCTCTGTGAGGGGCAGTGTTTCAACTATATTCTGCAATACCAGTTATACAGTACCGCTATCAATGGTAACGTGCTAAAAAAATGCCTTTGGAGCATCCGAAGCCCATCAACTCACACGGTTTCCCACAAGGAGGGTAAGAGGTTGCCACTGAAGTCAGTTTAAGTGCTCCGAGACGCCATCCGGCATGAAGGCCACTATATAAATGCAAGTTGTTGTTTCACCTTGTCAACAACAACAAACTGCAATTATAAAGCATCTTTCATGTCAGGAGAAGTAAGAAACCATCAGAAACAGAGATGTGCACCCTCTTCATGCATATCCCCCATTTCCACTGTTGCAGGCAGCGTGAAATTATATTATACAATCCATAGTCCAGCCGCAGGGTAACTTTAATGCAGAGCCACTTCCTGCGATATAAAAGCACCAAGAATCAACAACAACAAGAACTTGTACTTATAAAGCTCCCTCCTCACAGGGTAGCATCTCAAAGCACTTAACAGTGACGGAGCCTGACTCCAAGCCGGGGGGAAGTGGCTGTAAGCACGGTCAAAGAGGAAAGTTTTCAGGCGGGACTTGAAAGAGGGGAGAGAGTGGGCAAGGTGGAGGGATTGAGGGACAGTGTTCCAGAGTTTTGGGGCTGAAAGCACGACCTCCGATGGTGGGGCGGAGGGTGCAAGGGACGAGCAGGAGACCGGTGCCAGTCCAGCTGAGGCGCCGGGTGGTGGATTGGGGAGTGAGGCGATCGTAAAGGTAGGGAGGTGCCGGAAAGTGAAGGGATTTGAACACAAAATCCACTGTTCATGGCGGTGAATCAGGAAAATCACCACCATGAACAGTGAAAACAGTGTAGTCTGTTCAATATAGTAGTCTTACCCTGTGGATAAATGCTGAGCTGACCAGCTCTTTGTAGAAACAATAATAAATTGGTCATTTTCAATCCATGACTGTTTGTGGGACATTGCTCTGCGCAATTGGCTGCCGCGTTCGCCCACAAATATACAGTCAATTCACTTTACAGTATATTCTGTGAAGCGCTTTGGGACGTCCTCCTGACGTGAAAAGCGCTATATCAAATGCAAGGATTATTATTATTATTATTATTATAGGTAAACAGTGCAGCTCTGATTAAAAAACAACAAAAGCAGTCATGTCAACTGACCTGCAGCCATCCTGACAAAAATAGAAATGTTTCTATGTTTCCATCACCAGCCAACACAAAATAATACAACAGGTCACCTTTACATTTACTATAAAGCCCAAGATTACCAAACGTTTCAAAACACTTCAGAGGTCAACCCTGTCATGTATGGTGATTGCCTTTGAGGGCAAATATGACCATAAACTTATCACTAGAAGGCATTAAGTGAACAACAGTAACAATTTACACTTACTTAGCACCTTTCATGCCATAGCACCTGTGTTTCACACAAGCCAATTTATCTGGAGGTTGGTTGGTGAGGGCAGCTCTTTTGAGATAGTGTCATGGATCCTCAATGTCCACCTAAAGATCAGACAGACAGGACCTCAGTTTAACATTACATTGGATGGGCAGCAGTCCCAGTGCTGAGTTAGTGTGTCAACCCAGACACAACTGGCCCCCAGAGAGAGAGAGTATCACCAACAGAGCCAGGCTGACAATTCTCACCAGACAGCAATAACACTCCAGTACACAACACTTACACATGCAACTCCTGGAGAAGCAAATAACCAAAGGAAATGAAGAAGGCATCAGACTCGGCCTCCACGGCACCGATCCACCCTTTCAAATGCCACATCCCTTAGCAACAGCTGTGCGTCAGTGGAGACGGAAGAAGCTGCATTAAAATGTAGAGAAAGTTTGCACAAGAAAGCCTTGCTTTGCATTAGTGCAGCAGCAGGACAGCGGGGAAAACCAACTGAGATCTTTTTCTTTTAAGTTCAATGTGGTCTTCTATCACCAATTGTGTTGCAGCAGCTTACCGTCAGCATCTGCCTGGTCTCCCAGGGTGAGCGGCTCTCCCCAGGGTGAGTGCCTTGCTTGCTCCTCGGCCTCTGTGCCTCTCCCCAGCCTGTGCCTGTAGCTCTGTATCTAAGCGCTGCCATGGACACAGCTCCGCCCTCGGAGACAGTAACAAGCCGCCGCCTCCTGTAACTCGCCTGTTACCTGTTTGGGTTGAACAGAGCCTCAGGTCGTGGTCTCAGCGACTGTGGCGTTCAGTCTGACATGATTCACTTTCAGCCCAGACCAGTGCAGCCCCACCACACACTGGCCCGTGGCCAATGCTGGAGAAACAGGGAGCTCAGACAGGGGGAAGCACTTGCACGTTTTTTTTTAATTTTGCCTTTTATTCAGGTTGTCACCCCTCCAATATACAATCATAAATCATAGAATTACACAGCGCAGAAGGAGGCCATTCAGCCCATGATGGCTCTTTGAAAAGAGCTACCCAATTCACCCCCACTCCCCCGCTCTCTCACCAAATTGATTTCAAACAGTTCCAAAACGCTAAACGGTCTCACCTTTATCACTGAAAACACCACTCGTAATAATAATAATACTAGCAATGGCAACATTGGGCAAATAATAATAATAATAATCCTTGCATTTGATATAGCGCTTTTCACGTCGGGAGGACGTCCCAAAGCGCTTCACAGAACACACTGTAAAGTGAATTGACTGTATATTTGTGGGCGAACGCAGCAGCCAATTGCGCACAGCAATGTCCCACAAACAGTCGTAGATTGAAAATGACCAATTTATTATTGTTTTTAGTTTTTGGAGGGATTATTATTTGGCGTGTGGAGTAAAGAAACTTGCCCAAGGTTTCGCCCTCTGCCTGGAATTGAACTCAGGTCCCTCGCTTGCAAAGCGAGTGCTCTAATCACTGAGCTACAGGACTCCACGAGTGTTTTAGTCCTGAGTCCCATCCCTGGGGTGTTATTGATGGGTATAGTTTAAGAGTTTCATGCTTGTTCAGACTATCACCTGTTATTGTTGGATTCACTCAGTACCAAAGCCTGATGAGAGCTTTCAGACTATCAGCTGTCTGAAACTACCTGGAAAATGGGGGTTGGGGCGGGAAGAGTCGCATACCAGGAGGAGTGGATAGGGACTGCAGTATAACAGCAACAACAACAAATTGCATTTACAGAAGTGCCTTTCACTTCAGGAGGACGTCCCAAGGCGCTGGATATAATACAATACAAAATGATCTTTGTAAAGCGCTTTTCAGGTCAGAAGGATGTCCCAAGGCACTGGACAGTCAGGGTCAAAGAGGAGGGTTTGAGACGTGCCTTGAAGGAGGCAAGGAAGGGGGCAAGGTGAAGGGAATGTGGGATGGAGTTCCAAAGGGTGGGGGTAGAGAGGCTGAAAGCCCGACCACCAATGGTGGGGTGAGCCAGATGGAGGACGCAGAGCAGGTCGCAGCCTGCTGAGCGGAGAGAGTAGATAGGTTGATATGGGATCAGCAGGTCACAGATCAGAAGGAGCTAGCCATGGAGTGCCTTGCAGGTGAGGACGAGGATTTTTGAAGAGTTTGCACCTGAGCTGGGGATTGGAGTCAAAAAGGTTGGAGGGTAGGGGAGCAATGACCGAAGGTACTGTCAAAGAGGAAACTCTTGAGACGAGCCTTGAAAGAAGCATGGCGGGGGTGAGGCAGAGCAGCTCCGGGATGGAGTTACAGAGGGCGGGGAAGTAAGGCTGAAGGCCCGACTGCCGATGGTGGGGCGAGTAAGGCGGGGGATATGGATCAGGGCAGTGCCCAGCGAGCGGAGGGAACGAACAGGTTGGTAACGTTTTAATAGGTCACAGAGGTAAGGAATCATAGAATTATATGGCATAGAAGGAGGCCATTCGGCCCATCCTGTCTGTGTCGGCTCATTTAAAAGAGCTATCCAAATCAATCTCCCTCCCCTGCTCTCCCCATAACCCTGCAAACTTATCCCCCCCAAATAATTATTATAATTATAATTAGGGAGGAGCAAGACCGTGAAGGGCAATTTAGAATTAATGTAAGGCACTGAAAGAAGTCAACATGTCCCGCTCTCTGTTGATACACCTATATTTTACTCTAGGAAAAGTAATAATAATTCTTGCATTTGATATATATGATATATATTATCATGCCTTCGAGGCGTCTCAATGCGCTTCACAAAATATACTGTAAAGTGAATTGACTGAATATTTTGTTAGCGAAAGTAGGCTATTTAGTTGACATAACCTCTGCTGAACCTCCTCCTCCCACAGCCACTCACTTTGATTGAAAAAAAGGCATCAATTGTGAATTGTTTTCAATCAAAAAGCATTGTATCAGTGGCGGAAAACCAATGAGCAGCCCTTTGTATTTTTGAAAAGAATGCATGAGGAGCACAACCTTCCTTCACTTCACAATGAACAGTGATGACATGAATCCCATCTGTATTACTGTAATGAGATAACCCTTACTGCATAAATAAATATAATGTATTTTTTGTTATTTGGTTTCTTTTGTCTAATCTATATTTGTGTGGTTCAGTGTTTGCCCTCTTGCCTCTGAGTCAAAAGGCTTTGGGTTCAAGGTCCACATAATCCAAGCTGACACTCCAATGGAGTAGTGGAGATCTGTTGGATTGTCGGAGGTTGCCATCCTTCAGATGAAATGTTAAACCAAGATTCCATCTGCCTGTTCAGGTGGATGTGAAAGATCGCACGGCACTATTTGAAAAGAGAAGGGAGATTTGCCCCAATGTCCTTTTTAGTCACTAATTAGTCACTCACTCCACGGCTGTTTGTTAAACATTACTGCTTGCATACTGTCTGCTGCATTTTGCCCACAAGATACACAGTCAAACCACTTTACAATATATCCCGTGACTTTGGGATGTCATCCTTGCTCTACACGAAATGCAAGGATTATTATTATTATGTTTTATTTTTCCTCAATCTCCTTTTCCTCCCACTCTTTACAGAGTGTGGGATGAGTACATTTGTTTCCTCTCGATCTGCAGCAAAATAATTCGAATTGAATTTGAGGACATTATCCGTGGTGCAAGTGAAAGTGCCCTATTCAAATCTAAGCATAAAATTGTATTGTTGGTCATGTTTTAAAACAAAATGAGTGAAAATCAGCAAGTCGAGTCTGAGTTTTTTTTTTACTTAGTTTACTTACTTTTTTACTTACTTTAATGTTTTTGCATCTCACAATCTCCTTCCTCTCGCGATTCGTTATTTTACTCAGTTTAAAATGTATATGGTGAAGTGGCTCTTTATTCTGCACTGTTACAGTGGGATTAGATGTAAATGTACTGTTTGAGAATGTTAACCCGATTAGAGGAATACATCAGGGACGACTCACAAATGTTGTTTACACCAAGTCTTAGTATTGCATGCTGCAGTGTACTGATAAGATGATTTAAGACTTAGTACATGGAAATGTTACCTCAGGACTTGTGAACGATTGCTTGGAGCCAAGTTACCTGCAAAACTTCTCTGAATTGTATTTGTCTTTTGGCCTTTTTAAGAATCAGTTGAAGGAAAATTGCTGCTTTCCTGGCTTGTTCTCACTTTTTTTTGTATTAAACTTGCTTTGTGCAAATATACATTCTTTGCTGTTTAAAACTTGTGTGAAACCTCAGTATTTTTGCATCCAAATATTACAATGATTTTTTAAATTTCCCTTGCTAAGTGTTATATTTTGGATACAAATAAAGGCACCTAGGGCATAGATAGCCTATTTTCACAAATTCACAACATCCGCCAGGCAACCTCATCCACCTGCCTCATCACCCACCACCATGCCCTCTCTGTCCCTCTCACCCTCCCCATCATCTGCTCCTACCAGCACCCCCATCCTACATTCCTTCCTCCCCATCTCTCCCTCCTCCCTCTCACCCACCATCACCTCCATGAAACCCACCACCTGCAGCTTCGACCCCCTCCCTACCAACTTGCTGGTCACCCAGCTCCCCCTCCTCTGCCCACTACTGGCTAACTTCATCAACCAGTCCCTCTCCTCCGGATCAGTCCCTGTCCCCCTCAAAACTGCTGTCATCACCCCCCTCCTCAAAACATTTTTCCCTAGATCCCTCAAACCCCAGCCACTACTGCCCCATTTTTAACCTTCCCTTCCTCGCAAAAGTCCTAGAACGCATTGTTCCAAATCAACTTCGCGCACACCTTTCCTCCCACTCCCTCCTCGAACCCCTCCGGTCCGGTTTCTGCCCTGCCCACAGTACAGAGACTGCACAAACAACATCCTCTCTATCTGTGACCAGGGCTACCTCTGCCTCCTTATCCTCCTGGACCTCTCCGCGGTGTTCAACACAGTCGGTCACGCCATCTTCCTCCAACGCCATTCCTCCGTCATCCACCTCAGTAGGACCGCACTCGCCTGGTTCGAGTCCTACCTCACAATCCGCCAGCAGTACATCTGCACAAACGGCCTTTCCTCCCACTCTCACCCGATTACCTGCGGGGTACCCCAAGGATCCATCCTTGGCCCCCTCCTCTTTCTGATCTATATGCTCCCTCTTGGGGATGTCATCCGCAGACATGGGGTACATTTCCACATGTATGCGGACGACACCGAACTCTATTTTTCCACCTCTCTTTGCGACCCCCAGTCCCCTGATGTTCTGTCAGTCTGCCTATCAGACCTCAGGGGCTGGATGAGCACAAATTTCCTTCAGCTGAACGTTGACAAGACGGAAGCCATACTCTTTGACTCTCGTCAACATCTAAAATCTCACGGCTTTCACCTCCTCCACCTACTCGACCTCCCCCTAAAACTCTCCGAATCTGTACACAACCTAGGCGTCAGGTTTGACTCCCAATTATCCTTCCTCCCCTACATCCGATCCCTCACCAGCACCGCCTTCTTCTACCTCTGACGCATCGCCCGTCTTCGCCAATACCTCTCTCCGAAAGCCGCTGAAACCCTGTCCATGCCTTTGTCACCTCTCGGCTGGAATATTCTAACGCCCTCCTCGCCAGCCTCCCCTCCCCTACCATCCATTAAATCCAGATCATTCAAAACTCTGCCGCCCACATTCTCACCCGCACCAAACTCTGCTCCCCGATCACCCCAGTCCTTGCCAGACTGCACTGGCTGCCTATCCCAGAGAGGATCGACTTCAAGATCCTCACCCGTGTATTCAAATCCCTCCACTCTTCTGCAC